TTCTTAAGTAGCGTCAGAATGCTGCTTAATATAATATTTTGATGGTAGGAAATTTTGGTGTATTTTCGTCTTTACGATCTCGAAAACTAACCCGTTTTCTCACCACCTGTCTAAGTGCAACTTGTTCCAAATTTGGACTTTTAGCGCTTTCTTGTATATCTCTGAAACGACTCGAACGAATTTTTTTTTTCAAATCTCTATACATAATCTTCATAAATGAATTAACTTAGAGGCGTTAGCGCCCTCATTAATTCAGTTGCTAAGTCAAGGGAAAAACTATTAACGGTTATTTCTAGGAGGGGTCTAATTAAGTCACAGTATTCAAAATAAGTGAACCAACATGCAGCTTATATTTCTTAATTTCATTGTCATTAATACAAGCGCTTTTGACAACATTAATTTATTAAGCAATTCCAATGACATATACCTTCACCCTAGTAAGCTAAAGCCCCGTGCAAACAGACGCAACATTGTTGGGAGTTGTTATGTTCGTTTGCACGTAGCTGAAAGTTTGATCGGTTTCAAACTTTGCGCAACAACTCCCAACAACATGCAACAACAAGCAACAGGGTGTGTAAACGGACACAACGAGTAACATCTGTTGTGAAGTATTTAAAAATGTTCTCATCTTTAAAGTTTATTTTTTGTTTCATTAAGTGGGTCAAAGTTAGTGTAGATTTTTTCTTCGTAGGTGTTTTCCTATTTTGCGGATTTACTTAAAGTCATTTTAGGAATATTGTTCGCTGCTATTGATGGTTTTACAGTGACGTCATCAGATTTCAAAGTCAAAAGAGCGAGGTTTTACGAATTCTTATTTACACTAGGTTGAAAATAAATAGAAAATAAATCTTTGTAGAAGTTACCTGCACCGAAGCATGTTTCATTTCGAACTTCCGAGTTTTCACAGTACGTGACACCAAAAAGGAATGCTGTTTCATTGAAAAAGGTCATTCTTCTTGATTTTCAGCAGTTTAACAATTTCAAGTGTTCAAAGACGTGCTTTTGTGCACGTATGCTAGCTCTCGAGTGAAAAGGAAGAGCTTTTATAGAAAAAGTGAACTCCAGATCTTTTTATTGATTTCCGGAGGGCATATTAGAAGACAGACTCTGTCCACCAATATGGCGTCTCCATACAAAGCTCTAACGAAGGCACGTGAAATGTTTAGGCAAATAACTTAGAAACTGTGGACCACAAAGACCTGAGATTTGGATAAATTGTTAGTCTTTTACAACATTTCATTTTCTTGGCTTCTTCAACAGGACGGTTTCCAGTTTATTTTTTGTGCCGTGTTTATTGTCAGAATATTGCTACTTTATCATAGGTGGCCGTCTTTGTCATGTTAGCGCTGACAATTGGTTCATTAGTCTCGTTGAAGTTCCTGTTTTGGCTTGTGAACCAGCGTTTTAGTTTTTCATTGGTTTGTAGCTTTTTACTGATCACAACCATGTAGGTTCAGAAATACCAAAACATTGCCCACACCGAGTTTACCTTGTTTTTAATTCCCACCGTCAGCTAACTCAAGCATGTCCAGCTTTGGTCAGCTATTTGACTTAGTTTAGAGCAAGGATTGAGTAGAGAAGAAGAGTAAGAAGATTAAGACTGTTAGAAGACGTCAAAGAAGATAATAAATAAAGACCAAGATGTTAATCAGATTCCTAGTACCTCATCGCGTAGCGAGCGAGTTGATTGAACACCCTTCCCCTCTTCCCACCCCCCACACACACACACAAACACACACAAATCCAACATTGTTAGCCAAGAACGGCCAACAATGTTGTGTCGGTTAATTGCTCGGGGTTTAAGTGCTAGGCAGTACTGTAGTTAACCACGGTATTGAAGGCAGTCACTTGCAAAGTATACTATATTGTCGAGACTAAGACGAAATAATTAAGGAATTGTGCATTATCAAATGCACTCTCATCGTCACATATCTCATTTTTCAGTATGTCAACATAACTGGAGCTCGAGTGTGTTTAAAGGAGTTGTACAAGTCAAAGTACGACTCTCTCTCTGTATCATATACTGTCTTGTCAGGTAAGAACGGTTTAATGGCATTCTTTTTTGAGCAACACATAGGTTTTACTGATTACTCACAACTAATTCATTATGAATGCATACAGAGATAACTTATATACGAGGGTCATTTCATTAGTAGAGGAAGGCGATCATTTTAAATATTACCTCCTTGGAAGTCGTTCAATGTTTTTGCTACTGATTATTCCATTTAATCAGTAGATACTGCTCTCAATTTGGCGTCGTCAGTTTTATTTTCCTCTTTTCCTCCTGCTAAGCGTATCGGCCCCACAAGCAGCTGGAATGATGTTTGTGAAGCCGCCTCGTCCCAGTCGCTCTCGTTGCTTGCCTGCATTTCTTGCGCTTCTCGATTGTTCTGTTCTCCCTACTAAGCCTTGGGAAAGCCTGTGGAGAAGGCACTCTTTAAGGGACCAATTGTGTGGAGATTTCTAAACTGCACAGTCGTTTTATATCTTTATCACAGATATTTGCCAGCCAAGATGGAGTTTTTTTGGTGGCTACTGTTACTTCACAAGTCGTGCATGCGCCTCGTGGCTGACCGCTGAATCAAACTGTTCTACAATGAGTTCCAATTTGGTAACGATTCACAATCAAGAAGAAAATGTCTACATTCAACACCGTCACAACGGAGAGAGATCTTGGATTGGACTCAATGATCGAAGTGTGGAAGGCTCCTTTGTGTGGACAAACAAAGAAATAAGCAAATTTAGGTTCTGGGCCCCACAGCAACCAAACGACTGGAAAAATGAAGACTGTGTTCACACTCTTGGCGCCAAGCATGGTTACACTTGGAATGATGTGCCATGTACTAACTGTTACAACTACACTTGTTTTAAAGGTAATAAGCGTAGCACTATGAAGATTTATAACTATATATCCTAATCTCCATGTTCCACATAGTGAATCTACTGAGTTAAAACTACATTCACAAAGGTCGAAACACAATAACAGCATGTTAGGCAGATGGTTGGACAGATTGCATGAAAAGGAAGAGAGGGTAACACCGATCAGTTTCATTGTTAGAAACATAGCGAAACAAGTCGTATACATTTGCATTAAAAAAATGTCCTTTGACCAAAAAATGGCCGCAAAAGCCAGAAATCGGCGTAATCAAAAGAAGAACGAGAAAGCATTCATACGTTGGAACCACGGGAATGGTCGCGCTAACTTCCGCTTACTTTTTAACCCGGTTTTCCAAACACCTCTTTGCAAATTATTAACGAACATAAGCACATAGGTTAACCATTAACTGAAAAAAGTCATATTGTTTGACAAGAACCCTCTGTGTGCTTACTTTTTAGACTTGGATGAATGTACCACTGGTTCCCATTCCTGTGACGTCAATTCCGTATGCCAGAATACCGTGGGTTCATACAAATGTTCGTGTAATGCTGGGTACACAGGAGATGGAAAACCTTGCAATGGTATTTGAGATATAGTTGATCCTCCATGTGCGACCATCTCTTCTAAGCGACCCATAAGTCGACATAGAGCTACACATAACGTAACTTTGAAATTGCACACAATAAATTGTTTTTCAAAGAGACGACCTACTCTAATCTGAAGGTTCTTAAACAAGACGATGAAACCATTGAAGGTGCAATGTTTGTAAGCAAAAGCTCAACAACACTGTCATGTCATTTTGTAAAAAAGCCTAAAACCATATTTGTTATAACATGCAAACAACAAACAAACAAGAACCAAAAAAATAAATACATCCTCCTTAGCTACCAGATGTAAACCATCAGATAGATTTAATATTAGTTATTCTAACGCTTTACGTAACTTACAATTCTCATGCAGATATCGACGAATGTTCTACCAACTCTCACAGCTGTGACGTTAATGCGGTTTGTAGCAATACTGTTGGATCGTACGCATGCGCATGTAAATCAGGATTCACAGGCGATGGAAAAACATGCTCTGGTAAGCTGTTGCGGTGTTGTAAAACACGCTTCCAAAACGATGTGCGTGCCTGTATTTTCTATATTAGATCTTTACATTTGAACATGTAGAAAACGATGGACATATAACCTCAATGGTTCGAAATAATAATTAAAATAGAACTAGAAATAAGTATCTCGCAAACTTTCACTCAACTCGGTCTTGCACAATTGTCAAGCCCAGCCGGTTAGAAACTGATTAGGTGACCAGGCAATAAGCTGTCGTAAGACATGGGACTCCTTTCTCTCCTGTCTTCTTTTTTGTTTCATTCTCCTATTTGATTTTCAAATGCGTATATTTTAAATCATATTTAGCACTATTTCGGCTTAACCTCAAAAAAGATAGATTTCATGGAAGTTCAAGGTTTTTTCTGTAAAACCCAAACCGAAACGTACGTGCGACAAAACATATCCTGCGAGCTGAAGCAAACGTACTTGTCTGCTGGAGTGAGACGCACTGACAAATGTTCATTTTATCCGTCAATATTCGCTCTTATTTTGAAGCTGATGGTCCAATTTGCTTCAAAGCTCTCTTTAAAATACTTGTCCTTTCTAAATTTGTCGCGAAAACCATGTTTTGATCGCCAAAACGTTCCATGCACCGGCACAAAATTATAAACCCAGACCACGCGACGACGTCGGTCACCCTTCGCGGGGAGCAAATCAAAACGACCAACTGAGCAAACTTTGCTGTTCTATTTAATAAAAATTCGCATTGAATCGTTATGCATTTCACAAAGGAAATTTACTCCCTCGAATACTCCCTCATACTATAGCTATTCTACTATAAGGCTAAGAAAAAGTCACAAATATAAGCCTTTTAGAGACTTCCTTGTCTTTTGAGATTCTTTTCTTTCGAATTGTGTCTAGTACGTGTAATTTAATGTCCTCACCCCTTCGTTTATGCAAATATTTCGAAAAAGTTTGTCGGAGAAAACGGCGAATGGCAATTGTGGAACGGAGATTGTACGACCGAAACGAACTGTGCGTTTTGAATATTGAAGGTAAATAATCAACTATGTGAGCTAATCAATGACACCGGCTCTATTTAGTGAAGACCTTCGATGGCGGGTTAGTATGGTTTGTCCATATTCTTAAGCATTCAGTTGCAGAGGCTTCACTTTTCCTGGGCGTTTCTGAAAGAACAGTTGAGCGTTATATTTCTAAATTTCTTGTGACTGGCGATGTAAAGTTGGAGACAATAGGCCGTTCATACGAGGAACGAGGAACTGCTGTCAATTGAAAAAAAGCGTGAGTTTATTTTGTCTTCGCTGTCAAGAACCCTCAGACAAACGTTCATAGTTGGTGTCTTTATTTTTACGCAACGTGAAAGCAACTTGTGAAATTTTGCGTATCAAATAGCGTAACCAAAGTTCCTTTCGGTCGTGCAACCTCAGTTCGACACTGATTCGCCGTTCGCCATTCTCTCCGATAACCTTTTTTGAAATAGCTGTATGTAAAAAAGGCAAAAGAGAAAATAAGAGTAAATCACCTTACTGATCAAGAGTTTGCTGCATCACTAAACAAGAAGGCTTCCTCACTTTTTTCGCCAGATATCGACGAGTGTTCTACCAACTCCCACAGCTGTGAAGTTAAAGCGGTGTGTAGCAATAATGTGGGATCTTACGCATGCTCGTGTAAAGCAGGATACACAGGCAATGGAAACACCTGCACGGGTGAGCCTTTTGAGTTTAATTTCGTTTGTATGATATGTTTGTTTTTAGATTGAATGCAACGACAACAATACAAGTCTTTTGTGCTCCTTTTGTCTTTTACAGTTAAAGTTTTGGTTTGGCAGGAATTTAAATTAATTTCACTATTTGCAAATAGACGAAAAGCGGAGCTAAGCAGCCAGTTTATATCATCGGAGAAGTGCAACGATGGTTATTGTTCCGGCCTGTGATCATTTGTTTACGCCTAAAAGTCAATTGGTTCGATAACCTAACCGTGAAACAATGGGAAAAAATGATAAACAATGATGTGTTATTGTTTCTGCGACCAACGAGGAAACAGCTTACGAGCAGCTCTATCATTGCGTTTTTTTTTTTTTTAATCTCGGGTAAGATAATTCGTACCGTTTTTCTCGTTCTGTTTTCTCTTAGCAATGAAAACCGTTTTGATTATACATTTTGGCATTCTTCGTTTTGTAGATATTGACGAGTGCGCCAGCGGTACTCACAACTGCCACAGCTCACTTGCTTCATGTACAAACACAGTGGGATCTTTTAGTTGTTCATGTAACAATCCTTACACTGGAAATGGCAGAACTTGCAATCTACCATCAGGTAATCAACTCGCCGAATATTACGAAGATGTCCATTTACTAGACCCCGGCCCCTAAGTATGCAGGCGTAGGGATCGTCGTTACGTCCGGTAGGATTGTCCTAATACTCATTTCGTACCTACGTGACTAAACCAGCCTTCAATAACTCTATCTGGATTTTGCCCTGCAACCTCTATATGTTTAGGAAAATTTGAAGATAGCGGTCTAGCGGTTAACGGGACTATGATTCTTATAGACATCACTTCTTTTGACTGCGGGAGCTTTAAGATAATGGTAGTTTTTTTGGTGTTGCAAAGAAGCAAACTTAGTAAACAATTCCCACAACACAAAACAAAAGCGAACTAACATTAATTAGTTTCTGCAACACCAAGAAACAATGCACCCAAGATAACATATACTAGAGAGTTCAGTATACTCCATAGAAAAGTGTAAGAAATCGATTTTTAGTCGCGACCTGAGCAAGTAAGAGGAACTGAAACGTTGCGACAACGATCCCATTAGCTGCCATAAACTGATCAGATGGACTCATGATCAGTGGCCAACTTAAAACCTTGAGCATCATCAAAGGGTTCTTGAACCAATTTTTTACGAGAGATAAAGAGGCTTCACTGTAAGAAACATATGAAAATGGAGCGTTGTAAATCCGTTGCACAAGGCGAATAGTACTGGTGTGCTGCATACTTTAAAGGTTTAACTAGCAGAAATCACTTTGTCGTTAGACCCCTCTCACTAAAATAATTAACTAGAAGAAGATTGAGATGGGAAAGTCCGTGCACAAGCTTGTGTCAGTTTCACGAATCAAGTGATCATTGAACTTTGCCTCTATACTTATCAGTTTGGGGTTTGGGAACTGAGCCGACGCAACGAAGTGAAATAATCTTGTTTCTTCTCTATTATCATTTATTCAAAATATTTCACCGTTTGTGATTGTCTCCAGTCCCATCTCTAAATCCTCACAACCGGTACACGGTTACTATATTTGGAAGCCGATGTAGGAAGTACCCAATCGATGGCATACTCCTCCTCGATCTGCATAATTCTTCACATCTTACCTAGACTCATTCAATAACTGTTAAATATACTATGAAATGTTTGTGACTCAGTAAGGTTCTCAATAGAAGAGGAAAACTTGAAACATGTTTCCGCCATATTGATCACGTCGAGCGATCCATTACATTATTCACGATATATGCGCTATTACTTTCAATCCGGAGAATTTGATTTCCCTAATTTTGCCGATTACCTGCGAATGCGGTCAACTTTAATCGTCAACTGTTGTTTAACGAAAAATTCAGAAATAGATCCTCAGAGAATGTTCCCCTAAATCTTAATTTACTAGTTAGTATCTTTTTATCTTTGTTAATATCTTTTTCTTTTAGTATCTTAATTGTCTTTGGATTTTATTTTTATTTATTCACGGTAACGTTTGAAAGAAATTCAGTTTGCTATATCCGCTTTCCTTTCCCTTACAGTGTATTTTATTTCGCTCTTCCTTCCCTTATTTAGTAATTCTGTTCCAATTTATTTGACGACATTTTACCAAAAACGCCAAACGAAGATAAATACGACTTCAATCAGACTCGTACCGTGCGCGAGTCACTTTTTTTTTTTTGCATTAGGAACTTAATTTTACAATCACAGGAACGAGAACGTCATAAGAATCATAAATTTAGATTAGCAACGTTGCCCGTTTATCATGCTTTTCAATAATGTGAAACTTCCTTTAAGACTTTTCAATATTCAGTAGGGGTATCGAGGTCCAATGGACTTAAAGGTCAAATGAACCAAAATTTCGACCTTTTTTATTTTAGTTCAATTCTAGTGAAATGTGTTTAATATGAACCAAATAAACATACTATGAAGTTTCAGCTCAATTGAAGCGAGTATCTCAGAGATATTTGCAATTAAAAATTGTTATTTTTTGGCCCTTATCTTCGTAGAGCGGTCGGAAAAATTGTCGGAAAAAAACAGCTTGTGACATCAATGTTGGTCCGGTGAAAAAAAGCGGGAAATTCAAAACAAAGTTTTTCGAAGTCGACTTGGCGCAGAAGTGGTTTGTGCGGCCATAAACCTGGAAAGCACAGCCAATTTCAAAAGTTGCAAGCTGTGGTTATAACCTTCTTATTATTTAATTTTCTCGAAGAATACATCATAGTAAAACGGACTCTAACGACATTTACTAATTTCCTTGAGTTGTACTGGAAATGTGCGT